ACATGGTAAAACTGTAAGAAATGTGTTTTATTTTGGAGGGTGCTTCCCTGCCAAAGCACATGGCTGTGGTAACTGCTTAAATAATCAGTGATGAAATGAGAATGCTTAACTTAAATGCTTAACTTTTAAAGTATAAACTGGCGATTTAACATCTTAGAAGAATAATTTATAGGTGTGTTTGTGTGACTGGTTTTGAGTATTTTGGGGGGGTGTTTTTAAAGTGTTGTTTAGTTTTTAGCCTTCTGTGTCCTTCCTACTGTGCTGCTGCCTTTTCCAAGCTGAAGGGGCTTGAGCTCTCTCGAGTGTGGTTTTTTGTGTGGAAGTCAGTTCAGGGCTTTGGTCACCTCTTTTCCCCTTCTGGAACCTTCTCTGCAGTAATGGCTTTGGTCATAAAGGAACCACATAATAAAGGGACAGGCTTTTACGGGACATAATGTTTTGTTTCCTGTTCCTGTCCTAACAGGTACAAGCACTTATTAGGTTCAAGAACTACCTGACAGGTACTTCTCACTTCACTTCTGAACCCTAAACTAACACTTCTTTGAGTTATGGTAAGCAGTGCAGAGCTGAAGTTGTATCAGGTCAGTTCCTGAGACACATGAAACATATTTTTCCCCCCCTATACTTTTCTGTCCATGTAAACTGAATTTTGTTTGCCTTTTTACTGCCAATTTACTTGGTCACACAAGATCTTTCTGCTGCCTTTAATCTGCTTAAAAGAATAACCTGCAAAATAGTAGTTTCCTAACTACAGTTAGGAAGAGGGTTTTAGGATTTTGTCTATGTAGATACTCACAATTAAGTCAGTTTTATTTTTTCACAGTAGCTGGCTCATCCCTTTTTAATTTTAATTTTTTCCTTCCCACTAGGTTTTTTACTGCCAATTTGGGATCCAGCACTGGCAGGCAGGTTTTTCCAGTGTGTCTTTGATCACTGGCAGATTTTTCCCTGGAGATCCTTGTGATGAAAATCCTCATCCTTGGCAAACTGTGGCTGAAACACATAAAAGCAAAGGCTTGCAGGAGAGTGTTCCACCTGCGGATAGCTTCCTAGGTAAGTTATAATTACTTCTGTTTCATGGTGTGCAATGCACTGCCCAGTTCTGTCCTGATACTCTTTCCTCATAAAATCAGGAAGGAAATGGAAAGTTTTCAGAGTATCACATTGATTACACACACAGTGATAACAGAGTGTAGAGATGGCATGATTACCTACTAAATAAAAGAAATAAAAATTACATCCTAATTCGATTTATGTGGTTGTTGTTGCATGTACCTTGCACGTGACCACCACTACCTGTGTCAAAAATCCACATTTAAAAAAAAATCAGCCACCTACGAGTAACAGTGTTCTTCACAGTTTGCCTAGTCCACAATTGTTTTTAACCTAGGAACCATCTCCCTCTCCTGTTGCTCTTGCAGGAATTCCTGATGAACTTTTTTGAGGTTTTGTCCCCTCAGCCAGAAGACTGGTTCTTTGATTTCCCAGCTGGGATCCTCCCTGCTCTTGGAGACTGATGGCAAAAGGCTGGAAAGTTCCAGGTAAACTTTGGATCATCCCCCACCCAGATTTAAAGCAGATACAGAAAATTCCCACCGATGTTGAAATCACAGAGTCATTCAGGTTGGAAAAGACTTCCAAGGACAGAGTCCAACCTCTGCCTGACCCCCACCTTGTCCCCCAGCCCAGAGCTCTGAGTGCCACGTCCAGTCATTCCTTGGACACCTCCAGGGATGGGGACTCCACCACCTCCATGGGCAGCCCCTTCCAGTGCCTGAGAACACTTTCTGTGAAGAATTTTCCCCTAATATTCAATTTAAATCTCCCCTGGCACAACTTGAGGCCCTTTCCTCTTGTCCCATGTCCTAGTTTAGTTCCCTGTGGGTGGCTGGAGAGGAGAATTGGAGGCACAAAGATCACAGTTTGAGATAAAGATTTACTGGAAATGGCAATGAGATAAGAAAACCAACCCTAACAACAACAATGCCCATAGCAAAAGGGTACAAAAGAGATTCACATGCAAAATGTCCCAGGGGGAAGCTCAACCCACTACTCTGACTAGGACAGAATCCCTTTTCCACACTTGCAGTAAGGACCTGAGGTGGTACAGAATAACCTCCGGTCCTGGCTGTGCTCCTCCTGGCTACAACCAAAAATTAATCCTGTCCTGGCCAGAACTAGGACTGTTCCCTGGTCCACCTACCAGTCAGGGAGTTGCAGAGCCAGGAGGTCCCCCCTGAGCCTCCTTTTCTCCAGGATGAGCCCCCCCAGCTCCCTCAGCCGCTCCTGCTGCTCCAGCCCCTTCCCCAGCTCCGTTCCCTTCCCTGCACACGCTCCAGCCCCTCAGGGTCTCTCCTGTCTGAGGGCCCAGAACTGCCCCAGCACTGGAGGAGCCTCAGCAGGGCCAGCACAGGGACGGGCACTGCCCTGACCCTGCTGGACACACTATTTTCCCGTTCAGGAAAGATCTGAATTCCTGCTGCTCAACAGGTGCATACCTTCCTGGAGCATGAAAATCAGAAGCCAGCTCAGGCTGAGAGCCTTCAGGAAGGTAGAGCCTTTCTGTCACTATGATTTTAGCAGCTAGTTCACTTGCAGGAACTGCAGAAAAAGTCGTAGCAAAGGGATGGGTGAGGGAAAAAGAAAACAAAAAAAGGCCAGTTGGTGTAAGAAGGCTTTCATTGCATGCTGTTACCAGCACCTTTAATTATCTCACCTTTATTTCCTCCTGCAGTTGGCTTGAAAGTATCATTTGACACAGTTCGCTCAAAGCAGTAACCAGAAACTTTCCACAGTGGCAACAAAGCAGTAAGAAGTCATCTAACTTTTCCTCCAAGATTTTCCTTCTCTGAGAAGTTCTTGGATCGACAGGAACGCATTTTGGAATTTGCTGAAGGAAAAATAAACCAAAACCTCATCTAGCTACAACACAGTCCTGCTTAGCAGGGCTTGAGAGGTGCAGGCCTCAGTTCAGCTGCATCCCCCTCCACCCACCCTCTCCACCCACCCCAACAACTTCTCTGGTGTCTTGAGAAGAGAAAAAAAAAAACATCTTCAATAACAAAGATCAGTTTTAAATGCTTTATTCTGGAGCCTCTCTCCACACTCTACTTACAGTTCAAGTCACTGTGCAATGGTGATAAAGAAAGCATTGATCTGCTGCAGGCCATCAGGAAAAAACTTCCCGAGAAGCATGGTTTTATAGGAAATAAATCATGCTAAAAACTGATCCTTAACAGGTACAAAAAATTAAACAGAAAAAGAAAAAAAAGACTAGGTGCACTATTAAGACCAACATGTGAACTCAAGACTGCTGTGAAATATCATACAAAAAAAAAAGGCAATAAGGAACAGTAATGCAGCATTAAAGGTGGGAGTACAGGGTAGACAAGAGATACAAAACATCCTGCTTCAATATTTCTCATCCATGTACTTTGTTCAGTACTGTAACAGCAATGGAGAGCAAAAAGCACCAGACATCCAATTAAAGAAATAACAAAAGAGGAACATAAAATTAGGAAAAAAAGTGAAGCCTTCACATTAGGGAAAGAATAATCTCAAATACATTTATTCAACAGAAAACACACCACTTGGAAGCTATGCCAGCATACATAGACAATACCATTATTCCAGCTCTATGAAAATGACTTTTTTCCTAGTCTGTAACCTCTTCCACATACAGTACTGCTGAGGTTATCCCCAGGTGTATGGCAGACACCGCACATACACGAACAAAGCAGCACACTCAGAGGAGTAAAACAAGAGGAAATTGTTCCCTTTAAAGTAGAAAAGCAACAATCAGGAGGCCAGGAAACATGGGACAAAGCATCATTGAGCCCTAAACACATAATTCCAATTAGGTGGCGACACTGTGCAGCTATGGCTTCTGTCTTCCAAAAAGCCAAGCCTCCCCCACAGCCCACGTGCAGTATTCCCGTGTGGGATACAGAAGTTACTGAAGTGACAGAAACCGTGAGCAAGAAATCCTTGCAAATACATCTGCACTTGAGAAGGTGATTCCCATTTTGTCTCCTTACAGTTGGCACAGAAAGCAACTGCACCCTCAACTGCATAGGTGGAGTTTTTGGTGGTGGGGATGTGTCCTGATTCCAACATGGCAACACCGAGACTGTGTGATGCAGGGTTTGCATAGATAGTCTGTCCCCTTCCCAGCCCAAAGAACATAAAAGAGGAAGAAGTTACAGCCCAGGATCTTGTTGCATTTGAGAAAAACATGAAATTAGGAAAAAACCCCCCCAAACAATCCCATTTACAGAGGTTTCCTACATATCCCCAGGTAAGGGGGAGGTGGGGAACAAGACAAACAACACGTCATGGCTATTTCAAAGCTTCATTGTCGTAATGAAGTTTATTACAGGCCCCAGTGAAAATATTAAGAATTCACTAACTCATACACTTCTGCACCTTTGTCCTGGTGGTTGTTCTAGAACGATTAAGTTCCTCTATTTATTTAAAAAAAAAAAAAAAACAACCAACCAACCAACCTTATTAGTTTTTACATTATTGCTGTTTCTTACAACAAAATAAGAAAACATTTATGGAATCCACCTAGCAACAAAAAGGCAGTGTTCCCAGAACAAACCAAAAGCAAAAACAAATGTTCTCCAGGGGCCCTTCCTACACCAGCTACTTAATGAGCGGGGCGGGGGAGGTGGGGAGGGGGAAATAAACCAACCAACCAACCAACTTATCGCCTTTTTTTTTTTTTTTTTTTTTTCCTGGCATCAACAAATTAAACCCCACTTTCCAGAAGGGAAAATCCTTTCGAAATAAACGCCAGGATGACCTCCGGGGTGATGACGCCGGAGCTCCAGAGGGAGGAGCTGCAGCTCTGTGCAATGCCTGCGGGAGTCCCGTGGTGCTGCCCCGAGTGTCAGTCCAGGGAGATGATGTCAGGAGCGCTGCCGCCGCTGCTGCTGGTTATCACCCCGGCCTCGGCCCTGCCCGAGGAGCTAACGAGCGTGCTGCTCTCCTGTTGGCTGGTTGAGGTGATGATGCTGCCAGGCGTGCTGCTTGTTAAGGTTGAGGTGAGACTATCCAAAAACATAGGAGGACAGTACTGCTTGAAACAAACAATGAAGAGTGAAGAGACTAACTTGCACGAGGGAAATGTATTCTCTGAAGATACATCTTCCCTACAACAAGCACCAGACAAGTTTCCAGTGGAACACTGTGAAGGTGTGCACGGCAAGAACCAGAGCTGTGCAAACTGAGAGTAAAAGCAGATGGCGGACACAAGCCCTTCCCCATCATCCTCCCCTTTCTGCTTTTCAAAGAATCCCAGAGTGGTTTGGGTTGGAGGGGACCTTAAAGATCATCTTATTCCAACCACCCCTCCACGGGCAGGGACACCTCCCACTATCCCAGGTTGCTCCAAGCACTGTCCAAGCTGGCCTTGGACACTTCCAGGGATGGGAAGCCACAGCTTCTCTGTGCCAGGCCCTCACCACCAAGGCTGTATTAAAGTTAGTGCTGAGCGTGTACTTGCTTTAGAAAGGCAAACTACCAGTAAGGAGCAAGTTTCCAGGCCTGGATTTATCATAGTAAGGCTAAATAGAATCCTCCTCAGTGCATCCATATTACCAGCTCTCGCTGGGGAAACAGATTTTCCTGGTCTGAGGTTAGGTCCAAGCAGGTGGACTGCAAACAGGGTTTGGATGACAATAGCACCCTGATAATTATTGGAGCAGAATGTCACAAAAATCAGACTTGGAAATTAATGCCACAGCAGTTCAGACACTTACCTGCGAATCAACTGGGATTAACGAAAGAAAATCCAGACCTAGGAAGAAGAGAAGGATAATAAATTGACAAGTCTCTCTTTTTTTTCCACACACAGCAAATTTAAGGAATTTTTTTTTTTTGTGGTTGTAGAACAGATTTTGCAATTGATACACAGCTTCTAAATGGAATATACCACTGTGACACCACTCTCAATGACTACTTCAGGCAGCAGCAAAACGAGTTATCTAGTACAAGTGGCTCTTTTTAAGAATGAGGATGACAATGATGTATTATTCACTGGATATTGCAGGGTGGTTCAATGTGGTTGCTTAGATGGAGGTTGCCATTTGGAGCTGTTGGTTCATAATGCAAGTTTCACTGCATATTGTACCTGACTTGGCCAAACTGGGACATGAAGAGTGTCATCACATTAAAGATGCTGGAATGAAGTAAAGTCACAACATGCACAAGTCCAAAAACAAGCAGCAGGTCTCTTCCTCCACCCACGGGCAGCCAATAAGGAAACATTTCTAATATCATCCCCGTTTTGTGTCTAGACAAATGAAAGGAATGAAGAAGAGGAAACTACAAGTAGTTCAAAGTATATCCTCTAAGAGCAGTGACAACTAGCGTCCATCTTAAACACCATTAGTGTGTAAGCATTTAGGGCAAGATGTTTAGAACTATGAAACCAATGAGAAATTACCACGTTTTTTTTTGTTTTGTTTCTAAATATTGGCCTTGTGTTTGCTATGCCAACAGAAAGAAATGATAAACTTCCTCCCTCCCTCTCCCCTTACCTCCAGATCTGTTCTGGCCAGTGACATCTCTCCTCCTCTTCTCCATTAGAGAGAAATTTTGGAGGAGATTTAACGCTCAGCTGCATTTACAGAATTGGCAGCTTCTTTTGTTCATGCATGTCCTAGAACTTCTGTTGATTCAGATGGACAACAGTTCTAGACTTCCATTCTCTCAGCTTACTCTCCTACCCAATTTGAGAAGACAGCTGATTTCATAACAAGGGAGAAGTGGAGGGAGGGAGCAGTAAGGGAGCCAAAATGGACAGAGAAACAAGGGGAATGATATCCATCTCATTGCCAAACTGGTGCTGAAAGAAGAGGAAAAAACCCAGAGATGTTGCAGGGGAGGCATGGAAACAGGCAATGGAGCAGGGAGAGGGGAAGTACAGGAGGCCAAAGTGACACCTGTCACCACAAGTCACCACTTCCTGGGCTCTGGGTTTGTTACAGCCCGCCAAGAGAACCCCCAGAGTCCCTATATACAAGTGTTCTTTTCAAGGAGCCAGGATAGAAAACAATCAGTATCCCCACCTTTTGTCTGATATTTAGCAGCAGTGTTGAAGAATACATCATAGGCATTTAGGGTATGTCTAGGTAAAGAAAGTCAATAGAGGTCAGCTCACAGATTGTAGCTCACCTTAACCTTTTTTCATACAGTCTAGACAGAGCACCACTACAATCAGCAAGTAGAGTATCTATACCAAGGGCTGGGATGAGTCAGCACCTTCACACCTCTAGTAACTTAAACAAGCAGCTACTCTCCATCACTTCTACAGCGTGTAGCCACAGGATGTTTACACAAAGTCTGACTGAGCACAGTGAGAGCAGTCTCTGGCTGCTGTGCCCAAGTGCCAATTTGTACCCCAAAAAGCAACGTCTGTCACACACTGCTGTTGCGAAATGCAACCTGAAACTGGGCAAACAGCCTGCACTGCGCTTGTCTAGACATCACATCAGAGCAATACTGCATATAGTTTTGTTCCATTAGAAAAAAAAAACCCCAACAAAGTGTTAATCAATTCTTCAACATTTCCCCCCCCTCCTCCCTGCCCCCTTAAATTATTAATGCTGTCAGAACACACACGGAAAACATCCGGCACCTACCTGGCAAGTCTGATGAAATACTGGATATTGGTGGGTGATGGAATGGTACTGGGTACTCCGTTAATGAAGGAGGAATAGCAGCAGCATCGACCGTCGTCACGCTGGGCACTCTGGCAGTGGATGGCTGGTACATGAGAACCCTGTTTCAGACAGCAGGGGAAATTACAAACAACCTGGCCGTTAGTTGCAGAAGAGAAAGCGGGCACTGCTGTGCACTCTCATTCACAAGTCGCTGGGTTAGAACATGACTCCAGCGTGGCTACTCACTACAAAGTATCCACCCTAATTTCCTCTTTCATAACAGCCTTCATAATAACATGACCGTATCTGGGCTCTCAACAGCAACTGTGGCATAACAGCAAGTTGGCATTAAAACAAAAGTACAGTGCTGGAGTCATTGGTGACAGAGACACAAATGGGTGTCTGTCAGCACGCCCAGAGGGATGTGCAGGTGGACACAGTCAGAAGTGCTCAGTTTGATTCCTCCTCAGAACTGCTCCTCATGCCAAGGGCACGCCTGACCACTATCCAGCCCCTGGAGCACAGGCTACACACGTGGCAATTAAAATACAAGCCCATCTTTACTCAAAGCCTCACCCCAAGCGAAGTTTGGCTGTCTAGGAGCATGCAGCCAGCTCCAACCTTACTGCCTTGCCTCCTGCTGCCCGACCTCTTCTCAATGCTGTTACAGACACCACCACAGGTGCTCAGGCACCGGCCACATGAATAAAATAGTTCATAAACTCTAAGTCAGGTGGAAACACCCAGAATTCTGTACCCAGCTGCTACACATCACTCTCTCCAGCCATGAGTGTTATCCACTCATGTCTTCCTCTCCAGACTCCAGTCTTCAAGCTACTTTCTGGTGTCAGAAACTTGGATTTCAGACCCTCCCTTCTCAAGCACCTCTCACATTTCACCAACCTGCCTATAAGACACCTCACAGTTTTGCCAAAACTAGCAGATAGCACTGTTTACAGGAGATAAGCTGTTGCCCAAAAGCCTGGCTTTGACTTGGATTTGAAGAATAAAAATGCCACATCCATACCCAAAAAGCAAGGAAAACACAAGGGTCATAGAGAGACAAGAAAACTCGTTCCTCCTACAATTATGGTTGCAGGTAGCCATCTCAAACACAGAAGCAGGGAAGAAAGTCTTGGTGCCTTCTGAAATTTCATTAGGAGATGCATTTGTAGCTCTTTTTTCTCGTTAAAAATAAGAAATAGGGTCTCTTGCAGAAGGATTCCTCCACAGTCCTCACAAAAAAGCAACAGCATTTCAGTATTACTGCTGAAAGTGGTTGAAGATGACCGACTCTCTGCTCGCCTAAGACCACACACACCTTCTTGTGGACTAGAGACACAGAGCACCTGCTCATTTCCTCTGGTGAAACAAACGGAGTCTGGGGTTATTTACTATTATTTTAGTACAAGACACAGACACACATGCAGCAACACTGACTGATGAGCCATTACTGAAAGCTGAGCTTGAAGCAGCGAGTGCTGGCAAGCCTGACCAGTGCCCTCACTCCCTGCAGGTCTCCAGTGCCCCACAGGCCATGAGCAAGAGCATTATGGAAGCCACAAATAGAACCTGAGCTGACAGATCAGGACAGAGATAAGGCGGCACAGCAGTCAAATCAAGCCTGGTGCTGAAATTAGGCCTGATTATAACGATGGAGTAGCTGACAGAGGACTTGGGAAGTTGTTTGCTGTGCCAAGCAAGGTGCAGGACTGACTGATAACCACGGCCAACAAGAGCGTTCAAGACATTCCAGAGCTTATCAGGGAGGTAGAGGAAAAGAATGTCTCGATTCAAAACAGCACAGTGCCTCCCTTGGATGAAACACCATGCAAAGGGCATAACAAACAGCAACATAAGGGATCACACTTTAGGATGACACTAACTTAGCAAGAATGCACAAAACTCCTCCACATGGCATAATCTACTTTCTCATGAGAACACTCCCCATTAGATTAGTCAGCTTCCCTTTTCTATGGAGAAGCATCCCTGCAAGCCACAGCAGCCAAGTGTCAGTGTCAGTGCAAGTCTTTTGTGAGGCGTAAGACTATTTAATAGTGTTTTGCCTGGACAAAGTTACCGTATCAATACAACCTTCTGCAAGGAGAGGCCTAGACATGCTCCTCTGGAAGTGTGGAGCTGGATCCCAAGTCCACTTCTCCACAGATCAGTTTATCTGAGACATTACAGAATAACAACTAATTTTAAAATTAACAAACCCTTTGGTTGGGCTCCCATGTATTTCAGACATGTAAATGCACTTCCTTTTGATAGGAGGATCATCCTCTTCATCAGAAGAGCTTTCTGTTGTCAGGTCGATAACGTCAACTTTCTTCTTGCTAGCCTCGCTGGCCACTGTCACAGAACAGGGTTTGCTGACAACACTGGAACCTGAAGAAGAAAACAAAGCACTGTTCTCTAAAGGCTGGTGACATCAGCAGTTTCTATTTGCAACAGAACCAGGAACTCAGATCCTGCTTTATAGATCACCTTCCTGGCCACTACAGAGAACGTTACGGCCCAGTAACTGTTCCATGACTAATTCTGTGTCCCACTGAGAATATGAAAGCACAAACTTTTGTCTTCACTTATCAGTTTAAGGATGCAAAAGCAACCTTTTAATTTTCTTAACTGCTATTATAAAAAGTAAAGACAAAGCCCAAAATTGCACTTTCTTTCTTTCTTAGTTCAAATTACAAGACAGTCAGAAGTACTAGGCCCTCCACAAAACAAACACCAACATCCACATACATTATCCAAGCTACAACTAAGTCTCCAAGACTTTCTGCTGGTTTGCAATCAGTACTCAGATGTACATACTTTCTATTGTGGTGCACTGAGAACTTGAGACTTTCACAGCTTCTTTCTTTGGCCTCATGGGGCACCAGGAGCCATCTTCTTGGAATTTGATCTCATCCACATCTGAACATTCATTAAGGATTTCCATAAAGAGCCTGAAAAATAAATTTTCCCTTTTGACTCCAAGTGAAATTTTTCTTCTAAGTGAAAAGGAGACACAGTAGAAAAGATAGTTATGATCACCTTCCACCCACTCTTCCACACTGCATCTACTCTCTTCTTAGTTCCTCTTACCTGAAAGCCTGTAATTACAGCCTTTGCAGATATCAGAAAAGATTATCCCAACCTATCCATATTTCACTCCATGATTACTGCAATGCACAGATCTTAATACAAAAGTGGAAATCATCACCTTTTGAACCAAGTTTGACAATTTTTTAGGAGCTAAACTTTGAAGTTAACACCTTTCAGAGATAGAGACGTGAACGGAAGGCCTATCCCTACATGTCACATTTGGATTCCTCCAGAGGAAATACACCGAGGTTCTAGAGTCTTGTGATGCAGCTAGGTGATAACTCACACAGTTCTTTACATGAGAGGAGAAACTAACAGAGTCTAGCAGATCCTCCCACTCTAAAGTATTTTGACAAAAAAGTAGTATGAAATGGCTAAACCTCAAGAACAAAAGCAGATGTCAAGTACATAATGAAAACTTTTAAGTAACTGTAATCGTCAAATCCAGTCTCTTACCCATCTAGTATTAGGCTCTCGTAAGCTGCCTTTTTGTCACAGACAGGGCAGATCCAGGTAGGCTTCTTTTCATTCATTTGAAGGTAAAGAGCAGCATCAAAACATTGCAGGTGTGTGCAAGTCACAGCCCGGCAGGGGATTGTCAGTCTCATTTTTCCCAGCTGCAGAAGATGCATTTAAAAGAGTGTCAAAACAGCCGACAGAAGCAGGCCTGGATGGCTAACAAAGAATCCGGAGGCACTGGGTGAAACAGCTCTCTCTGCTCCTACAGAGGCGCCCTGGGCTAAGGGTGCTGCCAACATATCCACCCCCTCAGGACGTACAATGCTCCTAAAGGAACAATTAATCCATATTCAAATGCTTCACAAAGCTGCAAACAGTCAGGAACGTTTCTAGTGGACCTGCAACAATGTTATTTCTAGGATCTTATTTTTAATAAACTACCTACTTACTGAACCACCCGCTTTCACAACTTTCTTTTTACTGAACAACTCAGGGGTTTTCCCGAGCTCCACATACTAGTAGGACTCAGAATGATCAATTTCCACCTGGGAAGAGAAACCCCAAGGCAACATTACCTTGTTACAAGGTGATCAACTTACGTTTGCTATGGCAGCTGCAGTATAAGCAAAGCCACCAAGATGAGGAGGTACGAGATTTTACTCACTTTTACCGTATCTTTTCATTATAAATAAACCAGCCCCATTAGCCTTAACACCTCAATGTACAGGATTACTCCCTCTACAGACAGTACTGTACACACACAAGCAGCAACTTGCCCCAGTGCATCACAGCCGAGGCATTCACAGTTCTAACCACAGCTGGGTGACTGCTGCTACAGCCAAGTGCTTTACATGCACCCCTCTCCCCACTACTTTATATTGGCTCATTAATACAAAACATAAAGCTGGTGAGGTTTCTAAAGCAGGGCTTCTGAGAAGCAGCCCAATTCTGCACTGCAGATGAAAATACAAATCTGTATCTGTAAACTTCCAGCCATACTTACAGGACACATCAGAGATACCCGCAGACTGGTTGTGGCAATCTCACTATCAGGATCTGCAGTTAGCTTTTCTTTAACTATTAAAATAAAGAAGTTATACACAGACATCATTATTTCAAATGCTAATCTTGATTCATTGGTACATGTACTTTTCTCCAGCCCTCTAAAAAAAATTAAGCATTTAGGAAACTAGTTCATAGCAATATCAAACAACAGCTTCACTACTCATCAGTGACTGGCAAACTGCATCACAATATTCTCTGATGTTCTTTGATTGCAGATGCACTAAACAGCCACGTGGTTATTAGAGCAAACTCAACCCAACACGTGAAGAGATAAATAAAGCTATTATCAGTGAGTAAGGTGGGAGTGAAGAGAATTTAGGATATTTACCTGCACCTCACAGCACAGTAATGGGTGCCCATGGCATTTCCATCAAGACATTTCAGATGGGATCTCTAGGTGTCCTTCCTACCAGCACAGGGAACCCTCACCTCACTTGAAATAAAGTGTGATGGCTCAGCAACAGCAAAGGGAACCTGTGACACCCTGGGCACGGACTTTCATCTCAAAATGCTGTAAATCCCTTCTGTATTACCAGTTTTAGCTTTAGAGAGACACCAATCACCCACCAAAAGTACAGACAGGCAAGTGAATGAGACTTACTTAGTGCTCTGGAATGGTCGGGGTTTCTGATACCTTTCAGTTTTAACCTCTGCAGAAGCATAGCCGACGTGAGCTGACGGACAAGATATACAGACATGGAGTAACTCTGTGAAGAGAGTGAGTAAAGGTTAAATGTTGTTTTCATACACTACTTCCACTGTGTCAGCAGATCACTATTTACACTAGCTGTAGCATACAGTAAAAACAAAAACCTGACTTTTTGCTTAGTTATTATTAAAAACATTGACAGACAACGTCGATTTCGTGGAAGACCAACACTACGCCAGAATTCTCCAGGCAATCAAATTCAATGGTCTTACTCTAGTTATGACAACTAAGAAAAATTATTCCACAACCAAGAGACAACCTTGGCTCTTTTCAAGAAAAGATCAGTTAAATAACGACACATGTCACACACACAGTCTTTAATTTAAGAACTTCTTATATCTGTCTCCTAAATCCTTCCCTTTTCCAGTGTCAGTGGGGAGTTCAAAGGATCTCATGACAGAAGACAAATGGTCTTTATGGTGCAAACACCACACTTTCAGATGGCACAGAACTGCCCCAGTTCCTTTGTACCTTTTCTTTAGCTTGTTCTGCTCTTCTAAGCCCAGCTTTGTTGCACCATGTTCACTCTGCTGAGCCTGGCCCTGCTCCCCGGCATTTCCTACTCCTCCCTAACTCACACCCCTTGCCAGCTTCTTTTGTTCAGTGCTCACTCCCTCTCTTTGAGGTCACTAATGAAAAGTCTGCAAGCCCCACTGCTGCAGGATAATAATGGTTTCATCTGTATAACAAGCACAATCCATTGACCTTTTATTTCCACTCTCTGCCAGCCACCTTCCTCTGGCTCCTACCCTGCCTGGGTACTGCACTACTGCACCCTGTAGACAACACCTACAACCTTGCTCTTCCTTTACCACCTCCAGGAAAACCAGCTCTTACCTAGGCATACAGATAAATCGATCTGATTTCACATGAAACCACTAAGAAACAAGGATTTTTGTTTGTTTGTTTGTTTTCTTAAAGAACGACCATCTGTTACCTACAGAGAGGATGCTACAGGCTCCAGTCTGCCCAGCTCTGAGAGGTTTATGCTCCTTTTGCTCAGCAGTCCTTCACTATCAGCCCAGTCCATGCCAACACCACAGGAGCTGCTGGCACCCCACGCTGTCCCCCGGGGTCTCACTTTGAGGATGAAAAGCAACGGCTGCTACGCGAGTTCTGGCACCAACTTTAAGCCAAAGAACTCACTTCACCTCTCAGGGCAAGAGGGAGGATGCCCAAGCATTCCAACTCATCTGCTTCCATGAGAATATGCTTTGGCAATACGGGGAGGGGAAAGAAAGCAGGAGTCAGCAGGAGAGCCAAGACCACACACAGCACTGGAGTCATTTAAAGGTTCTGTGCTTTGATTGGAAAGCAACAACTCAGATCTTTCCCTCCATCTCTAATTTAGAAAAATCACCCTTTGATGTCAGCATTGCCCTTCATTTATTTTTTGAACATTAGCTTTCCCTGCAATTTATTTTTAAAATTTTAATATAAAAGCTTATACTGGAGTCTCACTTTGAAACATGTGGTGCCTTCAGTCCATAGAATTTGATTTTCAAGAACAACTTAAATAGCAAAGTACTTTGGTAACTGAATCCAGAATTTACACAACTGGTCACAGATAAAGGAATAAGTAGTTTTTGATTTGCCAAGAGCTGAAAGGGTGCTGCAACAGTTATTTAAACCTAGGATGAAGTCAGAAATTCCTTGCACTCTCCCTTTCTTTCCTTCATAAACGCACAGGGGAATTTACTATTTACACGAAAAGGGTTTGCTATTTTTGACATGCATTTCAGACAAGCCCTAAAAGGAAGGTTTCTAATGTGAATCCCACACGGAATTCTTTCCATCTGTATGTGAATCTTATACGTGTTACTGAAAACTACCACAACTTTAGAGCAAACTTTGTTTCCTGGCACTGACGGTGAGTTCAGCCATCTAACACTAAACACTTGCTGTTGCGTGCCTTGCCAGCCACATCAGGCAGCAGGGGGACAGGGATGCTACAAGAGGTTATTTAGACAACTGCCCACATCCTACACAACATGAAGATTACCTTCCCAATTTCAGAAGCCCAGGAAATGGAAATCTGGTTTGGCACTGCTGATGACAGCCTAACTAGAGATGTGATATTCAAGGGACGGCCAGGTCGCTTCTGTTCAATTCCATTTTTTGGTGGTGGAGCATATCCCTGTGGGAAGAAAGGACAATTAATGTGTTACCAAGTGTGCTGACACAGACTTGTTTCAAACAGATCTATGGGAAGCAAGTAAACCTAGAGGCCCTGTAGGCTGGAGGCCAAATCCAACATTTATTCTGAGAAATATCAGTCGTTGGCAGTCTAACACTGTACGTTAAGCACAATTATAAGACATTCTTTGCTTTAAGAGGGTTTTACAGAAGTGCTGAAAAGGTGGAAGAGAACACAGTTTGGGACCAGGTAAGTTCACTGGAAGAGGAAAAGGTTTTATTGATGCTTCATCCTTTTTGCCCCGTACCCCAGCGGGAGAGAGCGGAACATCACAAGCACACAGCCTTAGTGACAAACACAGCACGACATGAAGAGTTAACTCAGTGTTTCAGACAGAGAAAACACTTCACTGATTCTGTTTAAGAAACTAAGTCTCATTCCAAGACCCCCACATCTCCGTGGTATCTGCTTTGTCTTGCATGAACTACACTTGGCCCCATTAGCAACAAGTGTCACCTGTCCTCTGCCAAGGCCCCCGAAGGAGGACTGTACCTGGAATATCAGCTGTGTTTAAGAGATCACAGAATCACAGAGTGGTTTGGGTTGGAAGGGACCTTAGAGATCATCTCATTCCAACTTCCTCAGCATGCAATCAGCCTGCAGCTTATTCCTCTCACCCTGCATCTGTCACGATGAAAACAAGCCAGTCTCCAACAGAAGCTCTGAGGATCTCTGCTCTGAGCTCACAGACAGCCTTCAGTCACTCACCTCAAACTCATCCTGCACCTGAAGGATGCCAACAAGAGACTGCAGCTCTGTCTTGCACAGAACTGACTGACAGATTTCATTTAGTTCAAGACAGTGTTGTTTCACACAAGAAACTCTCCCAGAAAGAATATGCTGGAAAAAACGTGTATTTCTTTACCCAGAGAAACTCATGCATTCACAGCCTAGTGCTTGGGAAAAGAGTCACTTTGAAAGATGGTAAGTCTGAAAATAAAAACACTAATAATAAAAAAAAGTGATAAAAACAGCCTCTTCCACCCACTAGACCAGCATGCCATAGGATAATCACTGCCTTTAGTGGTGCTTACCACAGATGAGTGACCAGGAACCTCACCATATGTGCTTTACCCCAGAATACAAACTCATGGGGATTGCTGACAATTTCACATTTAAAACATGGAATGATTTGCCATTTCTTTAACGAGACAAAACAGCTGCAGCCATTTATAGACTATATATCCCTAAAGCTTTGCTATAGCAGGCCTTTCTCTACTAATGAGCTTATGTGAATGAATACACCACTCTTGCAATATTTAGGAGGGTATTTCCACCCATACCATACCATACCAGTCAAAATAACCCTGCTGCCTCCAACCTACAGTGAAGCTGTCCTGCTTTCAGAAAAGAAAGAATGTAAATTCTCTTACATTTCCCAATCTTTTTCCCTTTTTAGAGACAGACTCTGCAGTGCACGTGACTCATTTCAGTGAAGCTTCTGTTGAGGTTTTCTTCCACAGGCTTCTTTCTTGAGAACAGATTCACCCTAATACTCCTACAACAAATTTGAAACCTTCCCTTCCTATCCTCCAGGAGCTGAGAGCACTCTGCTTGTCTTTCACAACCAGAATGGCCTGTTTAGTCAGGCTGCCAACTCCAGTGGCAAGCAACTGCCAACATTATTTGGACCTTAAGTCTTCCACGCTTCTTTCAAGAACCATATTATTGAAAGCAGGTATCATCTGCTATAGCCAGGAAATTTATCTACAGAAAGAAGGCTGCTCTTCTATCTGGCTATTTCAGACCTGCCCTGGTATATTTGGCCTTTGAAAGGGACCTGCGGTGGTCCGTGGAGATCCCCTGAGACAAAAAGCAAATTACCTTCTGACTTCCCTACAGGAGAAGTCAACAGGAGAAGCGCAGCAAGTATCAAATCCTTGTTACCAGAATGGCAATCTCTACATTTATTCCTTTTAATTCAGAACCAACACTAAGAGGAGGACACAGATGCAGGAATACAAGGAAACACAGTGTTAACATGACCAGGCACAACCTGAACTGGCACTGGCACACTGGCAGCATTTCCATGAAGCTTCTGGTAAGGACTGCAGCCAAGGAGATGACCAAGAATAACTTACAGACACCTGCGGAGGGGAGAACTGCCATACCAGGGAAAGACAGGACAGTGCTCACTTATGAGCTGTGCAAGCTGGCACCAGAGACTGGTATCACTCATTAGTTACCTGACACCAACACTACTGAGACAGACAATGCTGGTCTTTGAGGGAAGGAGGTTATCTTACACTTCCCGGAACAGAAAGGAACCTCTGCATCAGAGGATGCAGACAGTGAACAAATCAACTAAAAAAATGTCTGCAGAAGCACTCAGACTGAGACTGTATTTGTCATTTAGCTCATAGTGCAGGGGGAGGGGAAAGGAAGTTGCCAAGACAACAGTGTTTTATTCAGTTTCTCACCTAAAGTTCTGCTAAAGAGATGAAAGAATCATCTTATGACACGCAGGAAGAATCTGCAGGATTTATATCTAAAGCAAAGCAATAATCCAAGACTGCAAACAGTTTCTACCATGACTGTGACAAGTTACTCACAAAATGGAGAGTACAACACAGCACAGCAGGGTGTAAACTATATTAACTCCTATAAAAACTGTAACCTGTATTAACAAGACACTGATGTCCACAAGATAACAACAGACCCAATTCTTTTGGGTTGGTAAGAAATTAAAAGAATCTGCCAAAGAAAGGAGAAAATGCTCAAGGTCATCACAGAGAATGTAAGTGGTACTTGCAAAAAGTGCCACCCCTAACTGACCAGAAAACATACAAAAGAAACCCTCTTATACCCTGAAGATAGAAGCAGGAGGAAGAGGAGCTTAAGAGTCTCATTTAAGCTGCAAAGAGGCACCAAAAAAAAAAAAAAAAAAAAAAAGCCATGGTTGCATAAGGGAGGGAGGGTACAGGACAACACAGTGGCACACCAAGGTGTTTACAAGCATTCTGAAAAAGAAGTTTCACACTTTATCACCCCATCCAGCACCTTTGCAAACCCACTGCCGAAAAAAATCTCTATACTATGACTTTTTCCATCTTCTATAGATTCCACAACTATTTCTGAATGGGTTGTGTAAGAGTTTCTCTCTGTTCTCTTGAATAGAGAAACCTATTCCAGAGGTATTTCGAGAATGAGACTGCTTTTCCCTTCCTGCGTATATCCAAGCAGGTGATCCTGCCCCTGTACTGCAACATCAGACACCAGTGAAGTGTGACTGCCAACACTGTTCTGTCCCAGTATCAGCAAATGCAAGAAACCCTAAAAAAATGACTGTCCTTCACCCCCACAATGAACTCTGCTCTACCCAGAGCAGATGCAGGGCAATGCACAAGCAAAACACAAGAAAGTGATGCCAGTCCCTTGTGACAAGGAAGAACTTAGGCCTGTCACAAATTCAGATTGCCCACACAGCAAGAACTACCACCCTCAAATAAACTCAGTCTAAGGACTTATGAGGAGGATTTGGTTTGTTTCTGACATATTCTGTTACATTAACTGCAACAGAAGAGGTTTGCTAAAACACAATTACTCCGTGCAGTGGCTGTAACATGATTAACAGCAGTAATGGCTATCTCACACAGCAAATGTACAAACCACATGCCTAACATGAGAAGAATTTCAGTGATAACTAACAGCCTGACTATTTCAGAAAGCTAACATTACAGAAAAACACATTCCCACCCCCCAAGTCACCAAGAAGCCACAAATGAGTACAAACACTTACCGGCAATGGAAACAGCTTCCCATTTACTTTAATGCACAAACTATTAGGATAATTATCTTCTTGAGGGCAGCTTGTCTCTGCTAGGCATAACCTGTGTCCACAAAAAGGAGAACGCATAATTCTCAAGTGTCCCCACAGACTTATGTTACATTAGCCAATTAAGAAGTTCCAAGAGAACGCTACGGAAAAGGTACCTTAGCTGAACTTGGACTGTGTAGTCTCTCCTGCCTCCGGGCAAGAAGTCCCTGTGACAAAGAGAAGAGAAAAAGAGAAGTACCCATTAAGACAGCAGGACTCATATTCCAATTATACACAAACAGAAGTGGCACACCTGCCCCAGCATCACTAAACTTTGCTCTTATTTTTCTTTTATTGAGCTATGAACAAGTCTTACAACCGACACTTCTGTTTAGCTACTGCCAAGTTATGCAGGACTTCAGGATCAGCATCCTCTATCAAGAGTTTATAGTAGCAATAAAGTTTGATGCTTCTAGAGAGCAAAAAGCACCTATGAATTATTTTGGTTTGCATCACAGGTCTTGCAACAACATGAACGCTGGGACAAACGATAAAAGCAGCCTTCCATTCCTGCAGACAGGAAACATGCAGGGAAGAGAAGTTTTCCACCTCTCTAAATAGTGACAATTACTTAAAAATCAGTAAATGTTAACTCTTTAATGGGGTAGGATTTACCCCAAATGCACACAAATTCTATGCACAGTAGTTCCTGAAGAAAACATGACAGATAAACTCAGCATAACCTCAGTGAGGATCATCTCTCTGCATCTACAGAGCATGTGATGAACAAAATTAACGAAAAACCCCACACTTTCTCCCAAAATTTTGCAGAAGTGTAGTTATATTATGCCACATTCTTATTTCTTACCTGGAAATACAGATTTCTCTGACTTGCTGAGGTGTTAAAGCAAAGATAAAAAACTTCTCTTGGAAACGCTGAATACTGCTCTGTACTAGAAAAAGAGAGACACAAAAGAGGTTGAACCATGGTGATTAAAGTCATTGAGTAAAGCAGGATCTACAATTGAGTTTTTCCTGGAATGAGGCATAAGTCACTGAATATCAACTCAAATTGTGGCTGAATTGCACGTAACTGTCACAAGGAAAGCAATGGAACAAATCATTCATCCAACTACACTCCGATGGCTTAACATCATGTTACACTTCCGTACTAAAGTAGCTTGGCAAACTGTTACAATCCTCCCTCCCAAAGGAGAAAGGTTCAAACAAACACACAACAAAATATTACACTGGATACTTGACAAAAGGAGGACCACGGAGACGCTGGCAGCTCCTGTAACATACTACAGGAAGAGAACGTGCACCAGAAGTTATCAGTGGGCAGCTGGAAAATTCAGAAACAGCTACAGGTAACTAAACCTTTAGGGAGGGAGGGAAAGACCACAACCCCTAGTGCCAGAGAAGCCAGCTAGACTTCATGTCTGGAATTATGCATCAGTAGCATCTGATAAAAAACCTCCAAACGAACAAAAAACAACCCTACATCTTCACCATCAGAATCCAACTTGTCTGTCAGCCACAGGAAGCAGCAAGATTTTAGTACTAAAGGTCAATAGT